ATAGATAGACAGATAGATAGATAGACAGACAGATAGATAGATAGATAGATGGATAGATAGATGGATAGATAGATAGAGGTGGATGAGTGTTTAACACCATGGTTCTCAAACTGCAGAGAAGACTGCAGCAGAGACAGAGTCCGACCCACGCTGAATACAAATGGCCCTATATGGCAGCTTGCAATACATAACAGCACAGTCTCCGATGTATGTACGCACATAAACGCAAAGGCAGTGAATAAAAGCAATCCAGCGGTACTGACAGCAGTTGGCACCAGCTGTCACATGTAATGAAATGATCATAAATAATAGACCAAAAGAGAAGAAACAATCTCTTCTGGTGGGAGCTGCCCCCTCCAGAGTATTCCCAGTTCCACAGTAAAAGTCATCCTCAACAGTGCGACAGTGTTTTCACAGACTTGCAAATAAGAAGGTGTTGACTGTAATTAATGGCCCCTGTTCAGAAACAGTATGAACAATGGTCTCAGGAGGTGCAGTCACAAGTGGACAGCTCGGTTCTATTGTTCGCCAGTTGTATTCAGATGTCTCCTAATTGAGTTTCCCATTACTGTTCATGATTGGATCTCCTTCTCATTCACTCACTGCCGGCAGACAAACTCCGACAGGATTTACATTCAGAAAGACTTAATGTGGTAACTGGCTGTGCGGGGATAACTGGGATGGTATGGGATCAGGTGCTGGGACGTGGTGAAATGGGAAACAATGTGTCAATTTGTGACCACATGCTAATGCAACATTAGCATTGATTCAACTTTGACTGAACATGTGAAGTCTACAAGGTTTGTGACTTTCAAAATATGGGTCCCCGGTAAAACAGTTTGGGAAACACTGGTCTACAGAAAGTCGTAACGGTAAGAACAAAGGCGAGTAAACTCGGTAAGCCGTAACCATGGACAGGTATAAGACCTTGACAAACCCAAAGTTCAATTGACGGTAAGAACAAAGGCGAGTAAACTCGTTAGAATTCCTTAAATATAAGACCACTCATTTCGGTTCTTTTTTTTTGTATGTTGTATTTCGGGGGAAAAAAATTCTCAAAGTGCTTCAAAGAGATTAAAATAAGATTAGAAACAATGTGGTTAAACCACAAAAAACAAAAACAAAATAACAAGATAAAAAACAAAACCAATAAGATTAAAACCAGACAGGCAGACATAAACAAAGAATTAAACGCTGAAAGCTTTTTTGAAATAAAAAACGTGTGCTTCTCTGATCCCTGCACTCTAAATACTCAGATAAGGACAAAAAAAAATCGGAATCAAAATCTAACTGCCATCCCTGAAAATCATGGATAAACAACGCCCCCATAAGGTTCTACAAACAGCAACTTAAGAAATGTGAGATCTGGGGATAGGACTATGTGACCAATTTTTTCAGTTGAATGCTTGTCGACAACCAGGTGCAGCCAGGGACGACCAAAAGGGAGCAGCAGAGAGTGTGTTTGCTGTACATCTTTTTTTTACTGAATAATGTATTTTCTTGAAGCCCTAGCACATTTCTAGTGCCAGGTTAGCATTAAAACTTTGCCACTGCACAGAAGTAAACAAAAAGTTGAAATCAAAGAAAAATATTCATCACTGAAGGATGAGAAACAGGATGAGACAAGAAGATAGCCAGGAACATGGACTTTTCAAAGAGCATGAGTTATAATGCTTTTTTTTTTTTTTTGCCGAAACTCACCATAATCACCTGAGTCAAACGACAGGAAACCTAGTTTACTGGCCTATTTAATTTATTCACCAATTTAATTTAATGAACAAATTAACTCAGTGATCACAGCTTGTTTTAAATTCCCTCATTAGTCATGCTTATTCATGTGACGGGGGACGATTTCATGTCTGATCTGCGAACAAGTCACTGAAGCTTCACTCCCTGCAGCATATATATGTGAGCCTGAGGAGGGAAGGGACGGTTGGGACAGAACCACATGTGAGCTCAAGGAATGATGCTGGAGGCAGCTGGGGACGATTTTAAATAAGAGTGTTAAATACAATGTACCACTATGTGGATTCTTCAACCTTGACTTCTTCGTCTGCTCTTTCTTAGAAACGCCATCTCCAACATCTTTTTGGCTGATATCTCCACATCAACATGTCCGAACCATCTCAGCCTCATCAACTTTATGTCAAAACTGGTCCACCTTAGATTTCTCAAACTAATCGACTAATTTCTAATTCTATTACCAATCCATCCTGGTCATTTCCTGTGAAAAGCTATCTATCTATCTATCTATCTATCTATCTCTCCATCTCTCCATCCATTCATCTATCTATCTCTCCATCTATCTCTCCATCTCTCCATCCATCCATCCATCCATCCATCCATCCACCCACCTATCCATCCATCTTACTCAGCATCTTCATATCTGCCACCTCCAGCTTAGCCTTTTGTTTTGTTCCACAGAGCCATTGTCTCTAAACTAGGAGTCACCAACTATATTTGTCAGAGGGCCAGAATCTTCTGGACAGACACCTCGGGGGCTGGACGCTCAAATAAAATGGAATAAAAATCACATTTATGTCTAACATGTATTATTTGATATTTTAGAATCCAGTCCCGGGCCGGATTGGATGGTTTACTTTATTATAAGAATACTCAAATTCTTTCCTAAGACTTTTTCCTAAGTCTAAGGCATTCAAATCTTCAATAAATGATACCATGGTCTTGGGCAGAGTCCAGGCTGAATGCATGTGAGGCCTGTCTACTGTGGGACATTGCTTATTAATTTACCAAACAGACCCTAAAGTAAGTAGTGATGTCATTTATAAACCACTCATATAAATAAAATCGATACAAATGTGACTTCACCTTCCAGTGGACTCACCACCCGCAGGAAGGTTTAGGGGGGTTGGTATGGTGCAGTGTGATTTGGGTGGTGACTGCTGCCCCCGCGACCCGGTAACGGATAAGCGGATAAAAATGGATGGATGGATGGATGGATGGACAAATGTGACTTCTCCAATCCCTAAGGTTATAAATCTCAATGAGACAAGCCTAAAAAAACTGTGAAAGCTGTGAATGAATGAATGAATGAGGAAGAACACAGTCTATAAGTTAAGTCATTTGTCATGGCATCATTATAATCTGACATTCCACCCGTGGAGAATACTGTACTGTACTGTACTGTACTGTACTGTACTGTATTATCAGTGACAGGTGAGACGACTTATATAAGGCAAACTGGCTTTATATGAAACGCCACATGATAGCTGCGGCAGCTTACGCACAAGCATTTATGATGAAGCCGAGTGTTAGAGGCAGCAGGGTTATGTGCAGCCAATGTGTTAATTTGAGCAGTGTGGCTGGAATGGATCTGTCAGTGGAGGTAACATGGGGTGGAATGAGATGACAGGTGTTGCGGAAGGAAGACGAGAGTGAACGCTACATGTGAAAAATAAAAGGACGGAAATGGAGGCAGGAGTTGGGACGTTTGCTGTGAGAAGACCATTTTTTTAGATGTAATATTAGAGCAACAGCAAAGACAGGGTTAGAAAACCATAGGTTACTAGAAAGATCAGGTTTACTGAGTCCTAACTTTTTGAAGATCTATCTGTCTATCTGTCTATCTATCTATCTATCCATCTATCCATCCCTCCATCTATCTATGTATCCATCCATCTATCATCCATCCATCCATCTATTTATCCATCCATCTATCCATCCATCCATCTATCCATCCATCTATCCATCCATTTATCCATCCATCCATCCATCTATCTATCCATCCATCTATCCATCCATTTATCCATCCATCCATCTATCCATCCATCTATCCATCCATTTATCCATCCATCCATCTATCCATCCATCCATCCATCCATCCATCCACCCATCCATCCATCCATCCATCCATCTATCCATCCATTTATCCATCCATCCATCTATCCAGCCATCCATCTATCTGCTCTCTCTTTATATATATATATAGACACACACATATATATATACTGTGTATATATATACAGAGCTCTCTATTTATATATATATATAGACACACACATATATATATACTGTGTATATATATACAGAATTTACACAATTTTTACACCTATATTCAATTAAGTGTGAATTCATTTCCTCCACATGTTTAGACTGATGGAGAAACCCAGAGGCAGACGAGGCACACAGGGACAACATGAACATAAACTCGGTACAAAACATACAGTTCGCTAACCACTGCGGCACCGCGTGGCCAAGCAGCAACAGTGACAGAAATATCTCAGTATCGATTAAAATATGTCTACACGTGCATGAAACAAAATCAACCCCATTTCACTTGAGTGAATTTCTCTACTTTTCTTCCACGTGGTTATCAACTCAACATTTCTATTGCCATGTTGCCATGTCCCTATTGGCTCTTCTCTCTCTGAATTTGATCTCTTCTAGACCGGGAATGACAGCCATAAATATTTCAGTAAACAGTTTTCCAAGGTTATTAATTATAAAATGCCACGTTTTTATATATATATATATATTCTAAAAATACAGCTGGACTCTGCCTCTTCGTTGGTGCATTAAAAATTCATATACAACTAGAAAGCCACTCAATCTCCCATCACTGCCAGCTAAAAGAACAAGTCCACTGGACTCTGCTCTGGTTGGTTCTTCTCACTTACGTAGGTGGGTTTTTTCTTTTTTGTGTGTGTGTGTGCATGTTTGTGTTTTCTGCAAGGCTTTTTTTGTCCTCTCTCACCCATTGTCTGGAGTATCAGTCCACTTCAGTTAGAACTAAAACGTGGTGATTCACAGTCTCAACATTCTGAATCACAACAGGCTCATTCTCCGGTACTTTAAAACTCCACAGAGTAGACATGGCACACGCATTATTCCAGCCCACGCACTCTCAAACACTCGGAGCACTTCCTGACAACTGACTCACACACTTTTTGTTCCACGTCTGTCTGCGACACACATATCCACAAATGCTTGCTGTTCACGTCACACACACTCACACACACACACTTCCCTCCAGCTCTCACCGTGGCGAGATGTCGCAGCCCTGTTGCATGAAAGCTCCAAGTGAGAACCACAGAGAGTTGAAGATGCCAAACTCGTTGGGTGGTTGGTCAGTGGGCCCCGGCTCTGTGGCGCCCTCCTCTGGCTCCTCTGCATGCCACTCGTAGGGACTAAATCGACTCACCTGAGGCAGCAAGGTAAAAGAAGAAAAACGATGAGAATTTAGAATACTTAAAAAAAAATGTATTAAAGTTTTTTTGTGTATAGATATACATATACATATATGTACATAGATATATTTACAATGTATATATAAATGAATCACAATTAATCATGATTAATTAATCAATTAATCATGATTAATTGAGAAAAAAAAATCAAGAGTTACTACCAAAACTGCTGTGAAGTCCTCAACAAAAGTACCTCACAATCCATTTGACAATATTGTCATATAGCTTTTCAGCTGTGTTCAGCTTCGGCTGACTCCAAAATTCAAAAGGACAAGGAGTCAAGGAAGTGGCAGGTGTTAACGTGATAAATGGAATTTGGCCAAAGTTTAAAAGCTATGCTAGAAAAATACAACGACTCCAAAATATCTGTACTGTAAAAAAAAAATAAATTCAGAGTTTCTAGATTCATCTTTAACTTGGATCCGAATGACCTCTGACATTCTTTGTCTCCATCACTCACCAAAAACAGCACCACGCTGACTCCGATGTAAGCGAACACGATGCACATCCAGATCTCGTAGGCCAGTGGGTCCAGGAATGAGAAAACTCCAGGCTTAGACTTCTGGGGCTTCTTGATCATGATGGATATTCCCAGAGACATGAAGGGCTTTGAGAAGTCAATCACCTCCTCTCTGACAAGAGTGATGGTCAATGGGGCCACGGCTATTTCTGCTTTCTGCCAGAGAGAGCGAGAGCAGAAGAAAAAGAGAGAGAGTGAGAAAAGACAGAAGGAGAAATGTTTTATACAGTTACTGCATGTAAAAACACAGCAGGGGAAGATCTTTTTTGATCTGTGCTTTTTGCAGGAGGAGACAGGATAAGCGGTGAGATAAAGGAAACTAAGAGGAAAAAAAAAAATGACAGCAAAGGTAGAAATGATCAGTAAAAATGTGTCGTGTCAGCAGTGGCAGCAGCCGAGGAATGAGATATGAAGGGAAGCAAGGCGGCAACTAAGAGAAACTGATGTCGTTGATGACACAGAAGCAATTTATACACTGATGGAATCTGCACATTTGCATGTGTGCACAGACAGATCGACAGAAGATTTGGCGGTCGACAAAACAGTTTGTTTTTTTTAAGGAATGCGTTGAATGTTTGTTTCTTAACATGGCAAGGTTTTTTGTCAGCGATGGAGGCACAAAAAAACAGCGCATCGAATTCTCCTCCGCTGCCAAGAGTGAAGATGTTATCGAGCGAGGAGGATAAACACCTTTTCAAAGACGGGAAAATCAGGCGCCATATGCAGAGAAAAATGAAAGAGTCCATGAGACAGAGGCATCAAAACGTCATAATGCACCACTGAGAGACGGAGTAAATGAATTAGAGCGGGTAAAAAAAAAGAGAACAAAAATCTATGAAACACGACTGGAAAAGGGGAGAAATCGCAAAGATGAGCGTAAAGGACGGAACGAATTGGAGAAGGCAACTGTGAAGAAACGTTGAGAACAAAGTAGAGGACGGAGCGGGAACCTTGACTGTGTGGCAGAACAAAGTGTTTTGGAACACGTCAAACTTGATCAGTGGATGCAGTGGTACTTCAGCTCCGTCACTCTCTCAGCCAGATTCTGGAGGCTAATCAAGGCTGACGCTAGGCTGTGTTTTTTTTTTTTTTGTTTTTTTTTTTTTGCGACGTCTTTGCTCTCAGTCTTCCGCTAGATAACAAGCTGCAGCCTCGTCTGCATGGTGATAACACCGGCATTGAGACTTTAAAATATGTCAAAGAGCCTAAAAGGCCTGTCAGTCCTCATAAAAAGACAATTTATCTAAAAACTCACGACACAAGTATAGTCCTCCAGACTGAGCATGTCTGCAGGTAAGTGCCATGACAACAGAGAAGACAGAGGCTTGCTTTTTGTTGTTGACAATTTTGGGTCACAGATGCAGGATGATGCAAAAGTAAGAATAAAATGTGTTCCTACGCGATGAAGAATGAGCTGCCTGTTTAAAAATAACACGCGCTTTTCTGCAATACCTATATTTTGTAAAGCAAGAATTAACTGCATACACAAATCATTTCCTTTTGCGTAAGGCAAGAATTCACGTTAAACTGCATACACAAATCATTTCCTTTTGACCGACCTATCAATGTCTCGGATCCTTTATTCCGTCTCAGCATCACCTCTCCTAACTTCAGCCCCAAACTGCTCCACCTTAACTGTCCCTCTGATCTGCTCATTTCTAATCCTGTCCAAAATATTTTACTGGCGGTTGAGGCTATAAACGTCTGGCGCTGTTATTCAACTAAATACGACAACGGCTTCACTCAGTTGAGCCAATCAAATCATTTGTTTACCCCGCAGCGCCAGAGCGGATCGGAATAGCCAGTGATGACAGAATGGCTTGCTCCAAAAGAATTAAGGTTAAAGAGGAGATCTGCAAACAAAGGCCTTTTAATTATGGTAAAAAAAGCTAGCTGTGAAACATTTGCTGCATTAAAAATTGACAATAAATATTGTCCAAAATATGAAATATTGTTGAAAAATGAAAATGTGGACATTGAGCTTGTCTCTTATAGCAGAAAGCGATGAGACAAGTTGAACTTCGGTTTGGAACTTTTGCTTGGAGGATATTTTAATAAATGGACATCAGTGACTTTTACTACGACTCTCACTACTGTTTTATAGACCCCACCTGAACTTTGCTGCTCTTTCCTCTGTCACAAGACACCACTGATCTCGTCTCCATCCATTCCTCCCTTTTCTTCACCTTTCTTTCCTGTCAA